CGCCTCGGCCTCCCAAAGTGCTGGGATTACAGGCTTGAGCCACCGCGCCCGGCCCTCAGCTAATTTTTTGTAGTTTTAGTAGAGATGGGGTTTCACCGTGTTGACCAGGATGGTCTCAATCTCTTGACCTCATGATCCACCCACCTCGGCCTCCCAAAGTGCTGGGATTACAGGTGTGAGCCACCGTGCCCGGCAGATCAAGCCTTTTAATCCCAGCACTTTGGGAGGCTGAGGTGGGTGGATCACCTGAGGTCGGGAGTTCGAGACCAGCCTGACCAACACAGGAGAAACCCCATCTCTAATAAAAATACAAAATTAGCCAGGTGTGGTGGTGCATGCCTATAATCCCCGTTACTAAGGAGGCTGAGGCAGGAGAACTGCTTGATCTGAACCCGGGAGGCGGACGTTGCGGTGAGCCAAGATGACACCATTGCACTCCAGCCTGGGCAACAAGAGCAAAACTCCTACCTCAAAAAAAAAAAAAAAAAAAAAAAAAGAAAGAGAAAAAAAATTAGCTGGGCATGGTGGCACATGTCTGTAGTCCCAGCTACTTGGGAGTCTAAGGCAGGAAAATGGCTTGAACCTAAGAGGCAGAGGTTGCAGTGAGCCAAGATCATGCCACTGCACTCAACCCTGGGCAAAAGAGCAAACTCTCTCAAAAAAATAAAAAACAAAGATAAAAATAAAATCAATATTTTTCATTTTTCAGTTGTGGATTAGTTAATATTTATTGAATGCCTACTACGAATCAGAAGCTGGGAGACAACTTCCCTACCCTGAAGAAACACATGCTTTTGTGAACACACACATGTTCATGTGAGAAAAAGATGCGCAAAGAACAATATATGTATTTAGTTAGTTAGCTGTCTGTTTGAGACAGGGTCTTGCTCTGTAGCCCAGGCTGGAGTGCAGTGGCATGATCATGGCTCACTGTAGCCTCAACCTCCTGGGCTCAGGCAATATTCATGTCTCAGTCTCCCAGGTAGTTGGGACTACAGGTGCACACCACTGTACCCAGCTAATTTTTTTGTACATATATATTTTTTGTAGAGATAGGGATTTGTCATGTTGCCCTGGCTGGTCTCAAGCTCCTAGGATCAAGTGATCTGCCTGTCTTGGCCTCCCAAAGTGTTAGGATTAGTTACCGCACCCAGCTGCAAAGAACAATATTTCAAGAAGGAAGAAGAATGTATTAGTTAGTTGGTTAAGGCTGGGCATGGCAGCTCACATCTGTAATCCTAGCACTTCAGGAGGCTGAGGTGGGCAGACCACATGAGGCCAAGAGTTCAAGACCAGCCTGGCCAACATGGCGAAAGCCCATCTCTACTAAAAATACAAAACTTAGCTGAGTGTGGTGGTGCACACCTGTAATCCTAGCTACTTGGGAGGCTGAGGCACAAGAATTACTTAAACCCAGGAGGCGGAGGTTGCAGTGAGCCAAGATGGTGCCACTGCACTCCAGCCTTGGCAATATAGCAAGACTCTGTCTCAAAAAAAAAAAAAAAAAAAACAAAGTTGGTGGTTAAGAAAGAGATTCTGAGGAAATGACATCTGAGTAAAAGCATACAGGGAGCAAACAATCCATGTCAATATCTGGGGAAGAATGATTCAGACAGAGGCAAGTATAAGTGCAAAGTCCCTGAGACTAGAATGGGATTGGAGTATTTTCAGGAAAGATTATTTAGATACAGGATTTAAAATTTCTCATCATTCAAACTTACCTCCCTGACAAGGTCCTGCTCTAAGTTATGACGCCCAAGTAACATTCTTCTCTTGAAGCGACGGCATTCCAGCTCTAGGTATTGTCTCTGACGTCGAAGAAGGTTAGCTTCTTCCTCTGCTTGGAAATGCTGTATATTCTCCTTCTGCTTTGAAAGCCACTCTTGTTTTTCTTTTTTTGGGGTACTCTGGTTTTCATTTAGCTCCTGGCAATATAAAAAACAACTCAGTGAAAAATACACAAAAATAGGGCTGAGCACGGTGGCTTATTGATCTCACCTGAGGTCACGAGTTTGAGACCAGCCTAGCAAACATGGCGAAACCCCATCTCTACTAAAATACAAAATTAGCTGGGTGTAGTGGTGTGTACCTGTAGTCCCAGCTACTCAGGAGGCTGAGGCAGGAGAATCGCTTAAGCTCAGGAGGCAGAGGTTGCAGTGAGCCGAGATTGCACTACTGCACTCCAGTGACACTATGTCACAAAAAACAGAGAGGACAGGTGCGGTGGCTCACGCCTGTAATCCCAGTACATTGGGAGGCCGAGGTGGGTGGGTTACCTGAGGTCAGGAGTTTGAGACCAGCATGGCCAACATGGTGAAACCCTATCTCCATTAAAATACAAAAAAAATTAGCTAGGCGTGGTGGCAGGCGCCTATAGTCCCAGCTACTTGGGAGGCTGAGGCAGGAGAATCGCTTGAACCCAGGAGACAGAGGTTGCAGTGAGCCAAGATCACGCCACTGCACTCCAGCATGGGCGACAGAGTGAAACTCCATCTCAAAAAAAAAAAAAAAAAACAGCCATAAAAATTACCTATGTGGATGTTATCATTTTGTATTGGTAAATTTTAAATAAAAGTTCTTAAGTGTATTTCTTCTCTAATGCTCACGCAGGGCAATGACCTCTAGAAGGCAGGTAGTATTTACATCTTTTTCGAGTTACCCACTAAATCGGAAAATAAAGAGATATATACACCAGAAAACATGTGTAACTTTTATCTCTGCACAGCTACATTTCTGATGGTTCCTAACTTCGACACGATGACTGGTTAATAAAGTGAAACATATCCTTCTTTAAAATCTTCCCAAAAAGAGACAGAAGATAGTGCTTTCAGGTAAAAATCATGCATGAACTAGGGCAAAAATAAAGTTAAATATCTCACTTCTTGGTTTTTGACAGCCTTCATTTTTGGTAAAATTATGGAAGGACTCAAACTGGAAATTAAATGGAAAATAAAATCACGGGAGAATAGAAACCTACTTTATGAATGGTATTTAATTTTCAGGATTAATAACGACTGAACAAATCAAAACTCATGATTTTACATTGTTTAAATACCAACTCACAAACTATCTCAATAAAAATGCATTTATATTAAGCAATGTGAAAAAACTGGTGATATACTCAACAAAGCAAACTCTAGAATTTTTAAGACAGAATTTTGCTCTGTGACCTAGGCTGGAATGCATTGGCATGAATTCGGCTCACTGCAGCATGGACCTCCCAGGTTTGAGTGATCTTCCCACCTCAGACTACTGAGTAGCTCAGACCGTAGGCGTGTGCCACCGTGCCTGGCTAATTTTTTGTTTTTTTGTAGAGATAGTGTCTCACCATGTTGCCCAGGCTGGTCTTGAACTCCCAGTCTCAAGCAATCCTCCCACCTCAGCCTCCCAAAGTGCTGGGATTAAAAGCATGAGCCACCCACCACTCTGGCCTTGATACTTTTTAGATAAAAAAATATACTAGTATTAGCATCCTATGGCCAGGCATGGTGGTTCACATCTGTCTGTAATCCTAGCACTCTGGGAGGCCAAGGCTGGAGGACTGCTTGAGCCAGTTTGAGATCAGTTTGGGGAATATGGCAACACTGTTTCTACAAAAAAATAAATTACAAAATTAGCTGGGCATGGTGATGTGCGTCTGTGGTTCCCACTACTTGGAAGGCTGAGGTGGGATGACTGCTTCAGCCTGGGAGGTCAAGGCTGCAATGAACAGCGTGTGTGCCACAGTACTCCAGCCTAGGTGACAGAGCAAAACCCTGTTTCAAAAAGCAAAACAAAAAGCCATCAACATTGCTCAGAACATAAATAGTGCATCTTTCTTAGGTATAGGATCATTTTTCAGAGACTACTAGATGACCTCATGGTCTTTCCCTTTAGTTAATAAAATACACAAACACATACAAATAAAAGGCACATAAATTAGTACTTAAAAGTTTATGTGTATGCACACTATGGAAAGAGAAAGGAATAACATGGGCACATGTGTAGAGTATTATACCTGGTTATCTTTTTCTTTTTGAGACAGAGTCTTGCTTTGAACTCAGGCTGCAGTGCAGTGGCACAATCTCAGTTCACTGCAACATCCACCTCCCAGTTTATAGCAATTATCCTGCCTCACCCTCTCGTGTAGCTGGAATTACAGGTGTGTGCCACCATGCCCGGCCAATTTTTATTTTTTAGTAGAGACGGGATTTTTGCCATGTTGGGCAGGCTGGTTTTGAACTCCTGACCTCAAGTGATCCACCCTCCTTGGCCTCCCAAAGTGCTGGGGTTACAGGTGTGAGCCACTGCACCTGGCCATACCTGGGTATCTTTTTCAAAATTTTCTGTCAGGGAACTTTCCCCACCAAGACTCTGATATGTCCCTTCCTTTCTACTGAGAATCATTGGCTTTGGAATTATAGTCATGGGAATTTATTAGAAGTTATACCCTTTAGTGTTGGAAAAATCTTGTCGATGAAGCTCACTTGGCAGAGTGAGTTTTGTATAGAGCAAGTCTTCGTGCCACCAATATATACACAAGACGTACATATCTGATTATAAGGTAAATTCCTATACACATAAAAAGCATTAGTATCTAGTAGATTATACTTATTTTATCAAAATCAATTGATGTATCACAATGTGCTAATTATATGGAGGGACCAAAAATTTCAATCAGCCTGTAAGACGCAGGGATAGATTAAAAGACGTATCATTTTTTTGTCCTGATGACTATCTTGAATAATGATCCTCTTTAAGAAGCTGTTGGCTGGGCACAGTGGTTCACACCTGTAATCCCAGCACTATGGGAGGCCAAGGTGGGTGGATCATGAGGTCAATATGGTGAAACTCTACCTCTATTAAAAATACAAAAATTAGCCAGGCGCAGTGGCAGGTGCCTGAAATCCCAGCTACTCAGGAGGCTGAGGCAGGAGAACTGCTTGAACCTGGGCAGCAGAGGTGGCAGTGAGCTGAGATTGCACCACTGCACCCGAGCCTGAGCGACAGAGTAAGAATCCATCTCAAAAAAAAAAAAAAAAGGGGTGGGTAGGGTAGCACAAAAGCCAGTCGTGGTGGCTCATGCCTGTAATCCCAGCACTTTGGGAGGCTGAGGTGGGTGGATTGCCTGAGGTCAGGAGTTTGAGACCAGCCTGGCTAACATGTTGAAACTCCATCTCTACTAAAAATATATACATATAAATTAGCCAGGCATGGTGGCACACACCTGTATTGATGTGGGGGATGAGTTGCAGTGAGCCAAGATTAGCCAAGATCGCGCCACTGCACTCTAGTCTGTTCGACAGAGTGAGACTTGTCTCTACAACATAAAAAGGCAGCAAAAGAAAGGGCCAATATGAAACCCTGTAGTCACAAAGAAAGAATCAGCATATTCTACTTCAAAAAAAAACTGATAAGCAAATATCCCACTTACTCTTATTCTACATATAAACTGACATAAGAATAATTATAATGTTCTGATCCAAAAGTAAGATATTACTGTTTACTTTTAAAGTAATAAATGTGATTAGGTGCGGTGGCTTATGCCTATAATCCCAGCACTTTAGGAAGCTAACGTGGGCACACTGCTTGAGCCAGGAGTTTGAGACCAGCCTTGGCAACATGGCAAAACATGTCTCTACAAAAAATAAATTTAATAATTAGCCAGGAGTGGTGGTGTGTGCCTGTGGCCCAGCTACTTGGGAGGCTAAGGCAGGACTGCTTGAGCATGGGAGGTCGAAGCTGCAGTGAGCTATGATTGTGCCACTGCAGTCCAGCCGTGGAACAGAACAAGACTGTCTCAAAAAATACATATAAAAAATAAAAACATAAAGTATATTTGCAGGAAATGATTCATTTTAGATCTTACTCAACTAAATAACTCAGTTAAGGGTAAGATTATAATCAATGTCATCATTTAAACTAATACCCATTTAGTGGCCACAAACAATAAAAGATAATTTTATCCTAATGGTTCTATGAGTTAATCACCATTGGATGTAATTAATAAGCAGATAATTTGCTTGAAAACTTTAATGACATAAGTACCTCTTTAAGCTGCTCTTTTCGAAGTTTATACTCTCTTTTCTGGGACTCTAGAAAACTATTCAGTTCCTTCTTCTGTTGGGCCTGAATATGTTGCTGAAATTTTTTCTCTTCATTGGACATCACTTTAGCCTATATGAAATTTAAAAAATGAATCAAATTAGGTAGATAGAGTTAAAGCAGCAGTTTAATATACATCACTAAGAATACCTTTTTTCCATAAGAACAAAAAATCACTAGAAACATCAAAATAAAAGATTGAACCAAATTATAAACATGTGCTACTTGGCATCCTTATTTGAACTTCATAGAATCAGTAAGATGAAATTCATCTTTGAAATGTTGATCTCTTACAGGGTCAAAAATGTTTTCAACTTCTTATTTCATTGAACAAAGGTATACCCTCCTCCCAACTCTCAATGCAACAAAACAAATGCTATATTTTATTTCTGATTCTATATGCAATATATGTTCATTGTAGAACATTTACAAAATACAGAAAAACAAGAAAAAACTTACATAATTTTAGTATCTAGAGATAACTGATATAAACATTTTGATGTGTTATCTTTTCTAATGTTTTCTTTTATTATTATTATTTTTGAGACAGAGTCTTGCTCTGTCACCCAGACTGTAGTGCAGTGGCATGATCTTGGCTCACTGCCACCTCCGTCTCCCAGGTTCAAGTGATTCTCCTGCCTCAGACTCCCAAGTAGCTGAGACTACAGGGGTGTGTCACCACACCCAGCTAATTTTTTGTATTTTCAGTGGAGACAAGATTTCACCATGTTGGCCAGCCTGGTCTCAAACTCCTGACCTCAGGTGATCCACTACACCCAGCCTCTAATTTTTTCTATGAATGTACATGTCTCAAATATATATGTGTGTGTGTGTGTGTTTGTATGCATATGTATATATGCATGTATATAATTAAGTAGGCATGGTTGGCTCATGCCTGTAATCCCAACACTTTGGGAGGCTGAGGCAGGAGGATCACCTGAACCCAGGAGTTCAAGGCCAGCTGGGTAACAAGGCCAGCTGGGTAACATGGCGAGTCCCTGTCTCAAAAGATATGTTACAGGGTTTCACCGTCACCCAGGCTGGAGTGCAGTGGTACAATCATGGCTCACTGCAGCAGCCTCCTGGAGTCAAGTGGTCCTCCTACCTCAGCCTCCTGAGTAGCTGGAACTACAGGCATATGCCACTATGCTCAGCTATTTTTTAAAATTTTTTTGCGGAAACAGAGTCTTCCTATGTTGCCCAGGCTGGTCTTGAACTCTTGGGGTCAAGTAATCTTCTCACCTTGGCCTCCCAAAGTAGTGGGATTACAGGTGTGAGCCACTGTGCCCATCTTGGTTATATAGTTTTAAAACAAATTTGTAATCACATTGCACATCTGCTTCAGAAATTGTTTTCCTAAATGTTAGTATTGCCTCTTGCTAAGCTATTAAAAATAATATCAGCCAGGTGTGGTGGCTTGTGCTTTTAATCCCAGCACTTTGGGAGGCCGAAGCAGGCGGGTCACCTGATGTCAGGGGTTTGAGACCAGCCTGATCAACATGGTAAAACCCTATCTCTACTAAAATAAAAATAACACAAAAATCAGACAGGCATGGTGGCACACACTTATGGTCCCAGCTACTCAGGAGGCTGAGGAAGGAGAATCATTTGAACTTGGAAGGTGGAGGTTGCAGTGAGCCAAAACTGCGCCACTGCACTTCAGCCCGGGCCACAGAGGGAGACTCCATCTCAAAAAAAAAAAAATCCAATGTCCAGAGGATTTGAAATATCTGTACATTGTTTTATCTAATTATTTCAAAATTAAATATTTATTTCTACCATCAATTATTTTGCCAAAGTCCCTACTACTATGAGAATGATTCCTTTTTTGTGAAAAGGGAGAACAGGATAGCTATGATAAATAATGCCTCACTGCAGACTACCAGGACATATTTTAATGACATGTTGTGAATTTACTGAGAAGTCTACATTTTACTTGACAAACATGGCTATCAAAAAAAGTGAAAACAATGGAACACCAAAAACATTAGAAGAAAAGGTTTCACATAATAAAAATCCTAAAAAAAAAGCTTTTATCATGTAAAATAATGACAACTATTAGTCAATAATCAAATGAAACTCAATCTTAATCTGAATCTTTCATAATTTATAATCTCCAACATTGTCTCTATATATTACAGTAATCTTCAATCATTCTCTTATTAAAATGCTGACAGAAATTCAAGGGTGGTTTCCAAAAAATACAAAAAACAGAATAATGACTTTTTGAGATCTAAATCACCTAATGATAGATTTAGCAAACTCCTCAGATAACCAGGAAATGAAAAGCTTAAAATAACTGAGTAACTTACCTACTGTGACACTATAAAACTATCAGGAATCAGGAAATGATTCCTTCCATATCTTATTAGTTCCCTGACCTAGTATTTGATAGTAAAACACATCAATTTTTCATACTCAAAATTTTGTTGACTATTACAAAAATTATAAAATGGACTACTACAATGAATAATTAGTTTTAGGACTGATTTGTTTTAAATGATGCACACACAAAATTAGTGAGAGAAAAAACACACAGGTGCCACCTTTTTTTGTGATATCAATTTACAGAAAGCTTTTTTTTTTTTTTACAGAAAGCTTTATATAAGTCACATAAATGCTTCTCCTTTTCCCCAAATTGCTTAGTTCCTGGGAACAGACACTCTAACATCAAATTGCCATGTTGGTTAATTCTGAGACATTCAAAACCTAAAATAAGCGAATTAATAATACTGAATAAGCCACCTCTTTCTCCATAGCTGCCTGGTGTTTCTTGATAAGTTTCTCCATTTCTGCAGCAAAATTGTTACGCTGAGTTTCAAGATCTTTGTCTAATCTGAGGCGATGTTCATCCATCTCAGCCTTTAGCTTATTTTCCAGAGTCATCAGTTGTTTTTGATGTTGTCGCCTCATTCGCTTATAGCCAGACATTTGTTCTCTAAGCTCAGAGTCCTGCTCATGTTCTTGCATTTGCCTTGTTACCTAGACATACAAATAATGGAAGGAAAAAAAGAAAATAAGACATTCTTCTTCAAAAAACATTTTAGACCATTCTATATTAACTACAATAGTGTAAAATATCTCAATATTAGCAGATTCCAAGGAAATTTCCAACAAGTCTTTTAAAGAAATAGGCAGACTGGTTCTAACATTTATTTTTATTTTTATTTATTTTTTTTTAATTTTATTTATTTATTTTTTGAGACGGAGTTTTGCTCTTGTTACCCAGGCTGGAGTGCAATGGCACAATCTCGGCTCACCGCAACCTCCGCCTCCTGGGTTCAGGCAATTCTCCTGCCTCAGCCTCCTGAGTAGCTGGGATTACAGGCACGCGCCACCATGCCCAGCTAATTTTTTGTATTTTTAGTAGAGACGGGGTTTCACCATGTTGACTAGGATGGTCTCGATCTCTTGACCTCGTGATCCACCCGCCTCGGCCTCCCAAAGTGCTGGGATTACAGGTGTGAACCACCACGCCCGGCTGGTTCTAACATTTATATGAAAATAAAAAAAAACCAAGAATAGCCAAAACAATCTTAACAAAAAAAAAAAAAAAAAAAGTTGAAGGACATGCACTACAGTAATCAAGACAATGTGGTACTGGCTTTAAGATAGCCTAACTAGATCAGTGACATAGAATAAAAACTAGAAACAGATCCACGTATGTTCAATTGACTTTTCTACCAAGAAAGTCAAGTTAATTCAGAGGATAGTGTTTTTTTTTTTTTTTTTTTTTTT